TTTGATCTGTTAGAAGAAACTGTATCTCAAAATTTTAAAGAGAGAACAACTTATATATATATGCCAAAAATAAGGGTAACTACTATGAAAGGATAGACTATGACTCTGAAAATGAAAAATAAAAATGTTTTTTTAAAAAGGGATTGATAAGATGTTTGTTGAAAAAGGGAAAAAGAAAAATTCAAAAAAAAAAGACAGTTTAAAAAAAATTAACTTTGAAAGACTAAAGGATCATGGGAAAAAAGCCATGGATTCTATGTGCAGTATTCCCCTAGCTCTGGAGTTCTGCCATTCTCATTGATCGGTAAACTTGGTCTTGGCTGGCTGTTCTTGCTGATCTTCTGGGGGAGGGGCCTGTTGCCGTGGTTCCCAAATGTCTTTGCGGTAGGTGGAATTGCCCTGCCCTTGTCTGTCTGGGCTAAGTAATCAACAGGGTTTGCTCTCGGGAGCTTTTGTTTCCTGCAAGCTTTCAGTACGGTTTCGGAGGACGAGAGTGAAAATGGCGGCCTCCCAATCTCTGCCCCGGAGGAGCCGACAACTCAGGGCCCCACTCCTCAGTGCGCCCCCAGAGAAAAGCAGTCACTCCCGTCTCCCTGGTCTCCGGCCGCACTCCGTGCTCCATGCTCACCTGGCCTGTGACCGAGTGTTTCTATCTCTGGCACCCGACCCCGTGTGGAGTCTCCAAACCCAGCAGATCCCTGTGGTGCGCTCCCACGCCACTCGTCCCAGGGGAGGAAGGGGAGTCTCCCCGGATCTGCCGCTTGTTGGGTCCCTGCTGGAGTAGCAGTGGCCTGACTGTGCCATGGATCACGGTTTATGGCAACTCCGAGCTGAGAGCCCGCGCCTCAGCTCTGTCTCTGAAGCCGCCTTCCCCGCTCCGATACCTGGAGCTCTGCTGCACTCAGGCACCCCCGTCTTTCTGTGACCCCAAGGGTCCTGAGACCCCACTGTCCCGCGAGGGTTCCACCCCCTGCTTAGCCACTTGGAGCGACGTCCCTCAGCAGAGCCGACTTCTAAAAGTTCCAATTTTGTGCTCCGTGGCTCTATCACTTGCCAGAAGCGGCCGACGGAGGCCCCCTCCCCACCCCTCCCCCCCCATCTATCCTCCTGAATATCGCCTCGGATTCACTTCTCCACACATCCTACCTTCCAGAAAGTGGTTACTTTTCTGTTCAGAGTTGTTGCTATGCTTCTCTTCGATCTCCTGTTGAGTTCGTAGGTGTTCAGAATGGTTTGATCCCTATCCAGCTGAATTCCTGAGACCAGACGAAATCCAGGTCTCCTACTCCTTCACCATCTTGCTCCGCCCCCCCATTTCCCTTTTATCTACTGGGGTTATGGGTCTTTTTTTTCATTTTCTCACATTGACTTGCAATATACACTTCCCAGCTTTTACAATGAGGACCTAAAAAGTTATACCCATTTTTTTAAGGAAGAAGATGAGGCACAGAGAGAAATAATGCCTTGTCAAGGGCAATCCCATCATGAAATATGGCTGCGCTTAGAATTCGGGGCTCCTGAATGTCCAATTGTTCTGTTGTTTAAGATTCATCATTTTTAATTCCTAGATAAATAAGCCAGTGTTCTGAACATCTCCAAAACAATACAATAAACTAAAAATCTATAGTGGTGTTCAAGAATAAGATTTAGACATCCTAGGCATCTTCCTCAATAATCTAAAATCTGCAACAGGAAGCTATGTAATAATTATAAGAGCTCATATTACTCAGTTTGTAATTAATTCTGAATTGCAAGACAGGCCACAGAATAGAAAGAAGAAATATAGATGTGTTTGGATTTTAAAAAATGTGTAGAGGGGGAGACTTCATTTTCCTAAAATAAAAATATGCAAATTTGCAAAACAGAAAGGATCTCTAGTGGTCAAGTTCCCAGTGAATTATTACCTATGATAAAATTTACTCATAATTACCTCTCTTTTTATAAAAGGGATATATATCTAAGGACTTTGCTTTTATATGGTATGCAAGTTGAACCATTTGTTCAATGTTACATAGACAGGTGATAATAAAGTTAAGAATAAAACCTAGAATAACTGAGTACAGGGTTATATTTTAACCATCAAACCATACTGTTTCTTTTAATTAAGGACAATATACCCAGGTCCTGGATCTCAGATACTGGAGATTCAGAGAGTGTTTGTGTTCAATAACTGGAAATTTACTCAGGTAGACATTGTATCTCACCCTCCTCTGGGTCAATACCATTGGGTTTCATTCACTGCCTATCTTCTACATCCTAAGTCCTTACCTAAATTCCATGTTATCCTCTTACTTTCCAACTCTGTCTCCAAATTTCTTGAAGGAATTGTTCTACATCACATCTTCTCCCATTCACACTTTAACCTTTGGTGCAATCTGGATCTCTCCTT